TTTCAAGATTAGTCCTTAAAGCTTCTACTATAAATACCCTAGCTCATTTAGCTTAAAAACTATCCCAAAGCATTCTAGCTTTCTTCTAATACTAGAGAGAATTTAAAGAGTTTCTTGAGAGTTGTTTTCTCCTTTTTATCAAGAGAGAATTATCATTGTTTTCTCCTTGGTAGATTGAGAGAAGTTGTAATTCTTATTTTCTCATAGTGAAATTCTTCTACCGTTACCCGTGGTTTTTACCCTATATATTTAGGGGTTTTCCACGTAAATTTTGTGTTTATTTTATCTTCATATTTTATTTTCTCAAATTATCAGTTGCGATTTTGCTCTATTTGATAGCCGTCTTCCGCAACAATCACTCCACACTAGGCTTACTCCATTCCAAAGTCGTATATAATTCTGTCGAGAAATATCCTCTGGTGTGGTACGTTCCATTTGTATTTATTTCTTAGCATCTGTGTCCAAAGTTGGTTTGATTGCGTTACTAGATTGAAGGCAACCTTCACCAAGAAAACATCATTTTGTTTCTCTAATATCTTGAATCCTAGTCCTTGTTTTATCGGGATACAGATTGTATCCTAATTGACCAGACTTATTCCTCTTCTCACTTCAGATTTTCCCAGATAAAGTTCTTAATTATCTTTTCAATTTCGTGATAGGTATCTTTCGGCAGTATAGTTGACTGCATCGAATAAAAGGGAATACTGCTAGTATCGATTTAGCTAGTGTAATTCGGTCTGCAAGAGATAAACTCTTTGTCATCCATCTGACAAGCCTGTCCTAACTTTTCGTATGATATGTTGGTATGTCACTTTTATGACTCAACTATGCAATAGAGGTACCCAAGATATCGCCCAAATCCTAGACTTTGGTGTTATAATACATCTCGTTTAATGTTGTCCTGTAGTGGTCATTAACATTTCTCGAGTAAAAAATATTTGTTTTATCAATGTGTTATGATGGAAGGGAGATTAGGGTTTGATCAGAAGGAATTGGGGATTACTCGAGGAAGGAAAATGGGAAAATCGACTGAAATTGGACAAATGAAAGGGAATTAGGGATTGAGATGTTACCTGAGAGATTTAGGGTTGAGTCAACGAAAAGAATGGGGTTGGGTGGACTGCAGGAGCAGGCTGATATTATTAATCCTTAGCCAAATGGGCCCAGTCAATTAATGACCCAAAACAGAAGAAGTTGAGGGAAATATGCCAGTACGTGAGCCCACTTGGAGATACCCTGTGATTCAACAAATGAGTAGTTAGTTTGTTAGATTTGCTGGCAGAATTACAGCTACAGGTACTTGTGAATATATAAGTTGTACCTGAAATCCAAGGAAAATCATGAATGAAATCTCTCATTTTCTTTACAACAACCCTAAGACACAATAAATTGGTAATCAGAGCTAAGTTTTATTATCCAAAATCTATTTTTCACGCTGGGAAAGACAAAAAAGATGCAAAAGAATGGAACCATTGAAGTAACGAAATAAGCAGTAGAAGTGAAGGAAGAGACCTTACCATCAACAGCAGTAGAAGTTGGAGGGAATGATACAAACCTTGGAGGATGGGATGACGAAGAACAGAGGCTATTTGTAGAGAATCCTACAGCTGGTCAATCAGGTAGCTGAGGAAAAAGACTCACCTCAGTCAGCAAGAAGTCAACCATCAACAGTTGAAAAGCAAAACAAAGGTGAAGGTAAACAACCATGTTTGATTACGGTTCTTAGTGAGCATGAGAAATATTCTTTTCAACCTAATGAACCATGAATATTAGCTGCTAAACCTGTGGGGTTTACTGGTACTCTACCTCTGAATCAGACATTGCAGGAAGAAAATGTTAGGGGCAGTTCTAGTGAGGCTAAAACGGATAGTAAAGGGTTAATTACGAGTTTAGGGCCTATTTTACCTCATCCTAAATTAGAGCTGCAGATGTTTGATGGCAGTAATCCTAGAGGATGGGTTAGAAAATGCCAAAAATATTTTAATCTCTTGGGAGTTCCTGAGGAACAAAAACTGGATGTGGCTGCAATGTATTTAATGGGAAAGGCTGAGACTTGGTTTGATGGTTATATTATGCAGAAGCATAGTGACTTGGCATGAATTTGAGGCTGATTTGTGTCATAGATTTTGTGACAGAAATTATTCAGATATCATTGAAGAATTTAATAAGTTAATGCAGAAGGGTAGTGTAGAAGAGTATCAAGAAAAGTTTGAGGAGTTAAAACCCTATTTACTACAACATTATATGCATTTAGGGGAGGATTATTTTGTTTCTAGTTCTATTAGTGGTTTGAAGGATGAATTAAAACATAAGGTGAAAGTATTGGAGCCTAGAAATTTGTCTGAAGCTTACAGGCAGGCCAAACTTTATGAGTTGGCTAATGAGATAGAAGGAAATAAGTCTAAATTTCCTCAAAAAAAATTCCTTATACTTTTGCAAGTAGTCAACCAAGCAGTGGGACTATGGGTTTTCAGCCTAAGACAATTCCTCCTAATACTAATACCAAGCAGACTTTATTGGAATATAGAAGAGCAAATAATTTATGTTTTAAATGTAGGGACAAATTTGCTCCTGGACATCAGTGCAAGGTTAGACAGTTGAACAGTATGGAAGAAGAAGAAGACTCTACTGATCAGGAATTGACAGAAGAAGAAATTGTAGAAGGGAATGATGTAGCCAAAGAAGCCTTGGAAATTTCTATCAATGCTATTACAGGGAATGTAGGGCACACTACCTTAAGAATTCAAGGGTTTATTAGAGGGAAACCACTTAATGTGCTGATTGATAGTGGCAGCACCCATAGTTTTGTGACACCTAAGTGGGCCAAAGAAGGAGTAGAACTAGTTCAAACTCAACCATTAGTTATTACAGTAGCTAATGGAGAAAAATTGTTCAGTACTGCCAGAAGCAATAAGGTGACTTGGAAGATGCAGGGCTATGAATTTCAGCATGATTTCAGAGTTTTGTCCTTAGGGGGCAGTAATATGGTACTGGGGGTGGACTGGATGAAAGATTTTAGCCCTATAATGATGGATTTTAAGGCCAAAACAATTAGTTTTGAAAAGGATGGACAGACTGTTCTAATTTGAGGGACTAAAAAATTACCACTACTCATACCAATTTCAGGAGAAAATTTTCAGAAGTTAGTTGCAAAAGATACTGAAGTGAATGGAGAAATTTATTTGTTGAATGCTGAAGTGGAGGAAAGCATAATTCCTCTATCTTTACAAGATTTATTATAAGAGTTTAAGTAAGTGTTTGAGGAACCTGAAGGAATGCCTCCTAGCAGAAAACATGATCATGCTATTGTTCTTAAACAGGGAACACAACCAGTCAATCTAAGACCCTATAGATTTGCTCATCATCACAAGACTGAAGTGGAAAAACAGATTGCTCATATGTTATCCTCATCTATCATGCAAGTAAGTAAGAGTCCTTTTTCTTCTCTTTGTTTACTTATTAGAAAAAAGGATGGAACTTGGAGGTTTTGTGTGGACTATAGGCAACTTAACTCTTATACAGTTAATAATAAATTCCCTATTCCTATAGTAGAAGACTTATTAGATGAATTGCAAAGAGCTACATTTTTTTCCAAGATTGATTTGAGATCTGGTTATTGGAAAATTAGAATTAAAGATGAGGATGTGCATAAAACTACTTTTAGAACTCATCAAGGGCATTATGAATTTAAAGTTATGCCTTTTGGCCTTATTAATTCCCCAGCTACTTTTCAAGCTTTGATGAATGACTTTTTTGCAGCATATTTGAGGAGGTTTGTTCTTGTGTTTTTTGATGATATTCTGATTTACAGCCATAGTATGGAAAAACATAAAAAACATTTAAGAGTGGTGCTGGAAATTCTGTTGAAAAACAAGTTGTATGCCAAAAAGAGTAAATATTTTTTGCCAACAACAAGTAGAGTATTTGGGACATTTAATTTCAGCTAAAGGGTAGCAACTGATCCTGGAAAAATAAAGGCTATGTAACAGTGGCCTTTACCTAAAAATCTGAAAGCTTTGAGAGGATTTTTGGGTTTGACAAGGGTATTATAAAAGTTTATCAAGGGGTATGGAGAATTGAGTAAACCTTTGACCAATATGTTGAAGAAGGGTGGATTTCATTGGTCTACAGAAGCTAAATTAGCATTTGAAAAATTAAAAAGGGTTATGTGTGAAGCTCCAGTTTTGGCTTTACCCAATTTTGACCATAATTTTTTTTGGAAACTGATGCTAGTTCCAAAGGAATTGGGGCTGTTTTGTCTCAAGGAAGAAGGCCTATTGCTTATTTAAGTAAGGCTTTGGGACCAAAGCATGCAGCCTTTCCATCTATGAAAAGGAATACTTGGCTATCCTAATGGCAGTATCACACTGGAGACATTATTTAGAGAGTGGTTCATTTGTTATTAAAACAGATCATGAGCTTCTAAAACACTTATTAGAGCAAAAGCTGACTACCACTATTAAGAAGAAAGGTCTTACTAAGTTATTGGGGTTGGATTATACAATTCAGTTCAGGAAAGGCAAAACAAACAAGGTGGCAGATGTACTTTCTAGACAGCAAATGGATTCTGGTGAGTTTTTGCAAATGGGGGTTACTGTATTGTTCCTACTTGGATGCAAGATATTGAGCAGAGTTATGAAGGAGACCTATTAGATCAAGAGAAACTTCCTATTTTAATTATTCAACCTGACAAGAGTGAGGATTGTAAGAGAATGAAAGGAGTGCTATACTTTAAAGACAGAGTTTATGTGGGCAGCAAGGGAGATCTAAGGCAGAAAATTATTATGGCTTCCCATGATTCACCACAAGGGGGTCATTCAGGCATTCAAGCTACTTATCAGAGGATTAAAGATTATTTTTTTTGGCCAAAGATGAAGCTTATGATTCAGGAACATATACAATAATGTGAGGTATGTCAGAGAACTAAAAGTGAGCACATTTCCAAGCCAGGGCTACTACAACCTATTCCAATTCCACACAATGCTTGGGAGGTTATAACAATGGACTTTATTGAAGGGTTTCCACCTTCAGCAAAACACAACTGTATTTTGGTGGTGATTGATAAATTTACTAAGTATGCTCATTTTATGCCATTGTCACATCCCTACACAGTGGTGCAAGTGGCTAAGATATATTTGGATCAGGTTTATAAGCTTCATGGTCCTCCAAAGGTATCTATTTCTGATAGAGACAAGTCTTTCACTAGTCTATTCTGGCAGGAGTTACTTAAGCAATTGGGGACAACTACACTTTTCAGTACTGCCTATCATCCAGAGCCAGATGGGCAAACTGAGAGACTCAACCAATGCTTAGAACAGTATCTCAGAAGTATGTGTTTTTTAAAACTACATTGGTCTAAGGGATAGCCCAGGCAGAGTGGTGGTATAATACTAATTACCACTTGCTATTAAAATGACCCCATTTGAAGCCTTATATGGTTATAAGGCTCCTGTGTTAAACTGGTCAGGGGATTCTAGAGTGGATGTAGTTCAAACTATGATGCAAGACAGAGAGCAATTTAATGCTTTACTACGTGAACAACTCATGCAAGCCAGTAATAGAATGAAGCAGATTATTGATAAACATCGTACAGAAAGGGATTTTAAGGTGGGAGAGGAAGTTTACCTAAAATTACAGCCTTACAGACAGACATCACTTGCTCTAAGGAGAAACCTGAAGCTTGCTGCTCGATATTTCGGTCCCTATAAAATACAAAAAAATTGGTCAGGTTGCATATCGACTGGAATTGCCACCAGAGTCAAAATTGCATCCAGTGTTTCATGTTAGCTTGTTGAAAAAGAAATTAGGAAACAAGGACTTATCTCGCTGAATTCTCCAGAAACGTCTTCTGATGGGCAATTGAAGATTTACCCATCCGTCTTGAATTCACGAGAGATTACCAGACAAAAGAGCGAGTCATGCAGTTCCTTATACAATGGATAAATATGAGACCAGACGATGCCACTTGGGAAGACTACACGGTGTTGAAGAATCAGTTTCCTAATTTCGATCATTGGGGACAATGATCATCTGGTGGAGGGGGTATTGTTATGATGGAAAGGAGATTAGGGTTTGATCAGAAGGAATTAGGGATTACTCGAGGAAGGCAAATGGGGAAAAATCAGCTAAAATTGGAAAAAGGGAAACAAGCTAGCACGTGAGCCCACTTGGAGATACCCTGTGATTCAGCAAATGAGTAGTTAGTTTGTTAGATTTGCTGGCAAATTACTGGCAGAATTACAGCTGTAGGTACTTGTGAATATATAAGTTGTACCTGAAATCCAGGAAAATCATGAATGAAATAACGTTTGTATCTCTCTATCTTCTTTTTTCTTCTTCTTTCTGAAATCTCTCATTTTCTTTACAACAACCCTAAGACACAACACAATGCTAACCTTCTGCTAGAGGTTAGACATTATTTATCTAGGAAGTCTCGAATAGTGCTTGCATGTTGTTCTGTTGTTTCTGAAAAGATCTTCATATCATCGGCAAAAAGGAGGTACGAGATTTTTGGTCCACTGTGAGCTAGACGAATTGGTTTACATTCTTTGTTATCGATGCTCCTTTAGCACAAAAAGATAAGGGAAGATAGGGTCTCCCTGTCAAATACCTAACCTCTCAATGGTTTGAAATATTATGATAATGTCCAATTCCATAGTACCTATGTCGATACTGTGGTTACGCATTTCATAATTAACTATCGTAGATTTTTTGGTACTCCAATGTCTAGTAGGGTATCATTGATGAATGACTATTCGAGGTGATCATATTTTTTTAGGTCAATCTTGATATCCATGTAACCTTTCCTATTTTTCTTTAATCACGTGGAATTCATCACTTCTTGTGCGATGATAATGTTCTCCGTGATCGACCTTATGAGAAAAATGCTTGTTTGATTCTGTGATACCCAATGTGGCATAAATGGATTTAGTTTGTTTACTATCAGTTTTGTCATAATTTTGTATAGAATAGAGCATAGACTAATCGGTCTAAATTGTATAATTAATTTCAGAGCTTTAATCTTTGGTATGAGCACTATTAGTATTTTATTCAGGCTTTCGTTGTAGGTTCCTCCTACGAATGTTTCCTTAACAAATCTTCATACGCTATAACCAATCATTGACCAATTCCATTGGTAAAAGAGCATATGGTGTTGCGGAATATGACTATCGGATAGAGTAAAATAGCAACTGATAATTTGAGAAAATAAAAATAAAAATAAAGAAGACATAAATTTTACGTGAAAAAACCCTAAATAATATAGGGTAAAAACCACAGGCAACGGTAGAAGAATTTTACTAAGAGAAAATAGGAATTACAACTTCTCTCAATCTAACAAGGAGAAAACAATGATAATTCTCTCTTGATAAAAAGGAGAAAACAACTCTCAAGAAAACTCTCTAAGTTCTCTAGTATTGGGAGAAAACTAGAATGATTTGGGATGGTTTTGAAGCTAAATGGATTAGGGTATTTATAGTTGAAGCTAAATGAGTTAGGGTATTTATAGTTGAATCTAAATGGTTAGGGTATTTATAATTGAATCTTAAGAACTAATCTTATAAATATCCTAAAATCCAAGGACTAATTTTTCAATTTTCCCATGCCAAAGAAGCTAAATGAGTTAGGGTATTTATAGTTGAATCTAAATGTTTAGGGTATTTATAATTGAATCTTAAGAACTAATCTTATAAATATCCTAAAATCCAAGGACTAATTTTTCAATTTTCCCGTGCCAAAAGTCATAAAAAACTGCTACCTAATTTTGACAATTTAGCAGCCCATGTTGCTACATTTAGCCGCCCATGTTGCCAATATTTTTTGACTTTCAACAATCACACACTTGAAGATTTGATTGGAACAATCATATATTCACACCATTTTTTCTACCTTGTTCCTTCATGTTGCTTACGTTTCTGACAGGCCACATCAAGTAAATTTATCAACATTGATTGCATTCGTCATGAAATGCTATGTTGTCTATTACCTCCTCTTATGTTGATGGCTCACTGTCCTATGTTAAAAGGAAATATGCAATATTACCTTCTATAACATAATCCGAGTACCAATTGGGACGTCTTCTCACACGATCTGATTGATGAGTTGTTGGAGATTCAGAACTCTCTGGTTCTTGTCCATCATGTGATGTACTGCAGAAGAATCTCCTTGTTCAAACTTATTTTCAACATGTATCTGTGTAGTCTCTGACTTTTCAGCGCTATCATCGTCTTCTTTTCTTTGTAGTTTATCTTATGAAAATATAACACCCCTGCTGATGTTCACTTTGCAGGCAGTGGGATCCCACAAACGATACCCCTTTACATCATCAGCATACCCCAAGAATTTGCATTTCTTGGATTTTGGATCCAACTTTGAAATTTCTTGGGAGTTGTACATCACATACACAATACTTACGAATACATGGAGATTTGAATAATCAGATGGTTTACCAGTCCACATCTCCATTGGTGTCTTCAGCTCTATTGTAGTTGATGGAGCTTGATTCACCAAATAACAAGCGGTATTGATGGTTCTGTCCAAAATGATTTTTCTAGGCCCGCAGCCCTCAACATTGCTCTTATTCTTTCTAACAAGGTTTCGTTCATCCGCTCTGCCACTCCATTTTGTTGAGGAGTGTTCTCCACTGTGAACTGTCTTTTGATGTCTTCTTTCCTGCAAAAGTCATCAAATTCTTCACTTGTGTATTCTCTTCCATTATTTGTTCTGAAAACTTGATCTTATTTCCAGAATCAAGTTCCACCCGCGCTTTGAAGTTTTTGAAAGTGGAAAACACATCTGACTTATTCTTAATAGGGTACACCCAACATCCCATGGAGTAGTAATCAATAAATAAGACAAAATATTTTACTCCGCCTAGGGATGTAACTGGTGCTTGCCATACGTCAGAGTGAACCAATTCTAGAACAATTTTGCCTCTAGAATTTGATGTATTGAATTTCAACCGGTGCTTCTTACTTGTTATGCAATGCTCACACAAAGTAAGTGATACTTTTGTTAAGCTTGAAAGTAGCTTTTTCTCCACAAGGACTTTCATTCCTTGTTCTGACATGTGTCCAAGTTTCTGATGTCATAGCACTGCAGAATCTGAACTACATGAGACAACAGAGGCTTCTGCTTCTAGCAAGTCTCTCCCTTCAACATGTACAAGTTTGATGCTACCTTTACACCTTTCATCACCACAAGCGCTCCAGGGAACACCTTCATGATTCTTTTCGTATTTCAATCTTACTTACATTATTATCCAACAATCTGTAGATAATAAATTTTTCTTCAGGCCTTTCATGTGCCGCACCTCTCAAACAATTTTAATTGTTCCATCATACATCTTCAATTTGATGGTTCCCACATCAACGATCTCTAAGGCATGATCATTGTAACTATACACAGATCCTCCTGAGACAGGTTCATAATGATAGAACCATTCTCTTCTTGAGGTCATGTGATATGTTGCTCCCGAATCAATGAGTCATATATTTGCAAATCTCTTTCTACCTTCCACGGTGGTTGACGATTCACAACATAGAGCATCTCCATCATCTGAAGTGTTTGCGGTATTGTCTTGTGGATTTGAGTTTTTACTTAGGCTCAAACAATCCTTCTTCAAGTGACCATTGTTTCCACAGTTGTAGCACTTTAAATTCTTCTTGCTTTTCGACTTTGATCTACCATGTTTGTGACTGCTTTTTTGGCCACGTGCTGTTGATCTCCCTCTCATCGTTGTCAACGCTTCTGCTTGTTACAGATTTACTTGTTTGTCTTCCTTGTTCTTGCGCTGATTTTCTTCTTATAGAACAGTAACTGCAACGTCATCGAAGACTAGACTGGTGACATTACAGTTTGTCAAGATGATGATGAGCTGATCATACGAATCAGGTAGACTTTAAAGTAGAAGTTCAACACGTTCTTGTTCTCCTATTGTACATCTTAAGGATGTAAGCTGAGAAAATAAAGTGTTCAGTGTGTTTAAGTGCTCCGTCACTAAAGTAGATTCTGGCATCGGATAGTGTACAATTTCCTCTTAAGGAAAATTTTATTTGCAACGTTGTAGCCTCGTACAGTTTGGTGAGATGATCTCATATCTCTTTAGTTATCTTTTTCTCCTCGATGCTTGACAATACTTCATTTGCTAATGCTAGATGAAATTTGCCATAGCATTCCCGTCCATTTTGATCATTTGTTGTCAAATGTGAAATCTACCGGCCTTTCACCGATAGCTGCTAGACAACCGTCTTTCCTCATGATGGCTTTCATCTTCAATTTCCACAATGAGAAATTTCTCCCATTGAACTTTTCAATATCAAATTTCGTTGACATAGCTTCTATTAAGGATAGCTCTCACTATTTCACTATCGTGAATAGTTCTCTGGAACCTTCAAAGAATGTGTAATACCTTCTTACTTTCTTATGTTGGAGGATCCACCTTTTGGTGGCAACCACAAAGACAATAAGTAGATATTACACACTCTAATCTGGCTCTTGATACCAATTATTGCAGAATACGGCTATCGGATAGAGCAAAATAGCAATTGATAATTTGAGAAAATAAAAATGAAAATAAAGAAGACACAAATTTTACGTGGAAACCCCCTAAATAATATAGGGTAAAAATCACGGGCAACGATAGAAGAATTTTACTAAGAGAAAATAAGAATTACAACTTCTCTCGATCTAACAAAGAGAAAACAATGATAATTCTCTATTGATAAAAAGGAGAAAACAACTCTCAAGAAAACTCTCTAAATTCTTTAGTATTGGGAGAAAGCTAGAATGATTTGGGATGGTTTTGAAGCTAAATGAGTTAGGGTATTTATATTTGAAGCTAAATGGGTTAGGTATTTATAGTTGAAGCTTAAAGACTAATCTTATAAATACTTTAAAGTCCAGGGACTAATTTAAATTTTTCCATGCCAAAAGTCATCAAAATCTGCTGCCTAATTTTTACAATTTAGCCGCCATGTTGCCAATATTTTTTTGACTTTCAACATATGGAACCCGTCCACTCCCGATG